CAAAGGAAGTGAATAACTTAAAAATAAATAACAAATATAACTCAAAAATTAACTTAAATGTTGAGGATTCCAATTATGATCCATCCTAAGTAGGCCCCTCTAAAAGGTGTCAATAATGAATGTATATTGCTTGAAGCCATGCAGCCCTTAGAGTTTAGACAAAACAGATTCTTCAGTTTGAAATGAAAAGACAACATTTGACGGTTGCCAGACCCTTAACCCAAGAAAATGATTTGTTTTAATTTTACAATAAAATCAACGACCAAAGTATCATTATAGGGCATGTAGAACCAAACCTTTCGGCTCGGAAAGCCAGATCTTTAAGGTCACATTCTTCAGCAAATTTCACCTCTTCAGGTTTTCTATCTCTTCCTGAGCTAACTAAATCAGAAAGATCAGCTGTGTTCTGCCAAACATAGCATAAATTAAACTAGGTAATAACATAAAAGGAACTTGTTAAAGACACATGCTCATGAAAGGTTTGTAAACCTGGAGTAAAAGATCATATAAGCGAACAAGCTCCTCAGGCTTGGTAACTTTCTCATTTTTGTCATCACGGCGCCTAGTAAGTTTACTCTTTGCAAGGCTAACTAACAACTGGTTGCGCTCAATTGTTTGTTGTCCTAATACAGCACTAACAGCTTTATCAAGACCATTCAAGTCATCTTTTACATTTTCAGCGTTACCTGCACTCGCCTAGGATGTATACAACATCAGGAAGATCAGTATGGAAATGATGAAAAGTGAATAGAGAGATGGCATTGAATGTAAAGAACAGACTTAAAATCTGATCAATCAATTCCATTAAAAAAAAGAAAAGAAAAGGAAACCAGTCTTATTATTAAAGAACTGAAACATTACAGATGAATATTTCATACCAAATCACTACGGATACAGCTCCTTGCTTCATGATATGCAGAGAAGATTTTGTCAAAAATTGCTAATTTTTTCTCAGCTGGCAGTGCATCAGCAGATTGACCATGTAAATCCTTTTCCAGTTCTTGAGCTGTACAAATTGTCACAAATGCAGAACAGAAACTTAAGTGTATTTGGACTACAAAACAGATAGAAGAAACATTTTGGAAAAATGCATGGAATGACCACAGAACCAGATTTAACTTTCAGCAATATGGTGGTGCATCTCTCACCTGCCTAAAACAAATGATTTAAACATGCAGTCTAAAAAGGAGTTGAATCTTGGCTAGAAAACTTTCAGTGCCTAAAATTGAAAGGCTAATAACCAACCTTTTAAAATTGCAACACGAGTTTTGGCATTGGATATCGGAAATCTATGCCCAAGCCAATGAAACTCAGTCAAAGATGCGGCCTGCTGAGATCTGGCCTCTGCCATAACAGCCTGAAAACAGAGATAGCATGTTGAACGAAGAACAAAAGGAAGAAGAAGAAAAAGGAGGGCAGGCATTTAGCAGATATGGAAGAACATGCTAAGCATAGTTTTCTAACAGACTTTTAAGAGATAAATAAAAAATCCATCTAGAATAAATAAAATTCTAGAATACATAGTGATTAATACTGCCATCTTGCCACAAAAAATTGTTTAAAATGTCAAACATCAAGAAAAGATATGATGCCATCCATATTGGGAGAAAACTAATTTCACATAAGCAGTCTTGCTTTATCTACTCTACCTCATTAGAAAATTTTCTCAAGGAAGGTAACACCAGCTCAAATAGGTATTCCTTGAAAACTTGAAACTTGTGAATTGTGATTTTGGTTTAAAGTGTCAATTTCTACCTCAATTAAAAGAAAAAGAAAAAGAAACATGCATTGAAAGAACCAATACACCTAAGGTTGGGAAAGTATTTGACCTCACCTCTAGTTTTGCTTTGAAAAGGTCCAGTGCAGGACCTTCCATTTCACCAATTTGTAAAAGTTCAGATGTTTGCAAATTTGACTCCCCAATTTTGTGCAGGCAGTATCGAATGCTTGGTTCAAGTTCTTCAACACGTTCACGACACAAGATTTGATTCTCCACATCTCCGTATTTTCCAAGTTCCTCATAAACAGCCCTACAATGTAACAAACAGTATTAGCCCAGACCAGATTCTTGATTTCTTCTTTTTAAACAGGATTTCACAATCATGAATACTAGCTAGCATCAGCTACATGTGATGCTCACATATATCTTGGAGATAAGCACAAACCTGGCACTTTTGAAATGCTTTAATGCACTGTCCCAATTCTGATCTTGTTCAAACAACAGACTCCCTTTCATATAGGAAGCATAGGCCTAGTAATAGAGAACAAAAACTTAGTAAACGGGAAAGGGAAAATAATGTAATCATGCTTTGTCAAATAATAATGCAAATAATCTGGAAGCACTCTGCTACTGTAAGATATTTTGGAAAAAAAAAAAGAAAAGTAAAAGGAAAAAGAAATATAGTTAAATCCAAAAGCTGTGAGTCTGTGACCTGCAAGAAATCTTAGAAAAATGATAGTGTTTATATAGAGCCCATGAAAGCAATTACAAGCACACAATGTGCATCCTGTCCTTTCTTTTTCCTAGGTTTTCCTGTTATTCTTTACCTTTCTTTAGGGTCTCCCAGCACATTATTTGATAAAAACCGCAACAGTATGACAAGAGAGCCCAAGAGAAAGCCTACCACATAACATACTCAAAAAGACAGCCTATAAAGGCTGCTTTTGCATCCACAGTACTAACAGCAACACAACAAACAATTATTCTCATTTCACCTTCCCCATTAAACATTGCACAACATGGAATCAAGTAAATTGTAATTTATAGGAGTTACACAGGAACTATTTATTATAATAAATGTCAGGTCTGAACCACTTCTTTTGTGTAAATTCAATTTTTGTTGGTAACAGACCCTAAAGCCTCCAAAGCAGTTGCACGGATGGAATACACATCGAAAAATTAGAATACCAAAAGAAATGAAGATGAGTCATAATATGTTCCCTTGCCCATTCACTAGTGTGTAAAACGAACCTCAAAAACACATCATTTGAACCAATACAGGAAGGAAGAACCAATGCAAAAAAGAAAAAGAAAAGAAAAAACAAACTGCAAGCATAATCTATAATACTTTCTATCCATTACAGATGAAAACGTGTAAGAAGTAAAATCGAGACAGGTGCAAGAAATCAGCAAATTGAGGACACACCTCAGCTTCTAAGGATGTTCTGGAATCTCCTTTGATAGAACACAAATGTGAAAATAGATTCGCCCATTTTACTGCCTTCCTCAGTCTACCAATTAAATAGATGCGCTGGCGTGCATTTGGACCATCTGGAAGCTGTCTTTTCTCCATGGCATGGCTCCACGCTCTCTCAGCCATATAAAGAACCACGTGAAGAAATCTATTTAAAATCCAAGAAAACATGAAGTGTTAGAAAGGCTACGATTCATTAACCATTATTTATTCCCTTCAAACCATGAAAACATGAAACAAGGAGATATTTCATCTGCAGACCAGCTAAAGGTCAAGAAAAAACAGTTCCCCTAAATAGTAAAGCATGCATCAAGCTACTCTATGTTGCAAGTCTATGCACAGCACATTAACAAAAAGAGATAACATTAAAAAGAAATTAGGCTAAAGTATATCAACTGCAAGAAACTGTTTTAATACAACAAAACAATCACCAATTGTATCACAACTCAAATAATCCATGATCAAAATGAATAACTTGCAAATCATCCAGTGCTATCCAGATCTATTCAAAAAAAGAAAAAAAGAAGAAGAAATAAAAGAAAACCAGAGAATAAAAAAGCTAAAATTAACATTGAATAATATACGAGATAAGTTCCAAGACTATCACCATAAAAAACACACATTATCATGTTAGGCTTCCCTCAATCAAACCATTGATTTTCATTTTCTAGTCTTTTCAATGGAGAGTCATATGTCACAACTAACCAATTTCAACTTCCTAGTTTTTAAATTTTCAAACAAACTAAAGGAGAGCACTGCATTATTATGAAGCATGCTAACAAATGCACAGTTTATCAGACAAACCTCACTTCAGTGACAGTGGATTCAGTTATTGCTCTTCGGGTATATTTACCCCGGCCATGTGTGAACTTCAATGATTTATACAATCTCCTCAACCGAGCAGTACAGTATCTCCTGCACACCAATTTCATTCATTTTATTACACACTGAAAATACAAGAAAAAAAAAGTAGAAGAAGCAGTATATCAAATCTCAAAGGCACTGTAAATATACCGATAACGAGTATAATCTCCGTGCCGCAATCCATGCTGCATCTGAGCAGACTTCAGAAGCTGCAACACTGCAAGAAAATGCCGTAAATTACAAAATCAGTAATCGATTTCATATGTACCAAAAAAAAAAAAAAAAAAGCAGAAAAAATCAACCAGAGCTTCAATCTCGCTATCATTTTCACCGTTGAAGATTCGACTGAAGCGAAAAGCCTTTAGGCATTTCGATGCTCACCGTTGATTGAGAATTTGGTGCTGATCTGCTCGGAATTGTTCGATCCGTCGATTTGCATAGCTGAATCTTCGTTATCCTTCCCCATGACGCCTTCAATTCCAAAGGATGAAAAAAAAAAAAAAAAAAAAGAAGAAGAAGAATCAGATCATCGCGAGAAGAAAAGAGAAAATGAGTGAGGTTAAGAGAGTTTGATTATGGGAAACCAATGGAAAATATGAGAAGATTTTCCCGGTAACCAAACATAGCCATCGGAGCTAGAGATGGCTTCCGTAGGTAGTGCACCTTCGCTTGCGCTTGTAACGGATGGCGAGCTCCGGCTTTCGCGAGTCTGTGTGGTTTCACCTTTTACGTTTTTTTTTTTTTTTTGATATCCTCGTACAAAACCTCCTTTGAATCCATAGTTGGATGGGCAGGTGTTTTATTATTTGGGCCTTCAGTGGGACAAGACCAGTACTTGAACTTGAACTACTAT